GGTGAGGCAGACCCGGCACTGGCCTGATGACTGCCTGTCACTGGGTGTCACTGTCTCTCTTCTACTGCACTTCCTTCCCTCCCTTGACACAACCATACTTGCCAGGGTTGGGGGTTCACCCCTGCACCCAGGCTTATGCCCCACCATTCTGACCATAGCAGTGAGCTCCACCCTGGCTCATGGAGATGACATTCTTTCCCCTCATCGAGTGCCCCACGGCTTCACAAACGCAGCCTGTGACTCAGCACCAGGGTCGACAGCAACAGAACGTATCTAACCACTTACCTCATGTACACAGAGTGGTGCAGCGTGGTCACCTTGTCATCCGGCAAGAGGTGATTGATGGACACGAAGTCGCCCTGGAACTGCTCCTCAAGCGCATCCACTCTGAGGTGGTCTGAGCTTACATAGCTGCAGGCACATTGGAAACCCAGACCCAACAGTCATGGTGACTCTGAAATATCAGTCACCCACACACACACACACACTCACCAGGTTACAAGCATCACACTTTGGAGACCTCACTTGCTCCTCCCCAGACCATCAAAGGCTTCATTTTGTTGAGGAAATGCACACACCTTAGCCAGGCATTCCAGGCTGCCTATGGTCTGGACACGTGCTTGCTGTCCCACAGTCCACAGCCTGGCCTACCCACCCACCCAATTCCAGCCACAAAGACCACTTCCTGCCACCGTTAGGTAGTCCCCACCCACCTCACTCTGTACTTGGTTTGGCTGGAGCCAAGCCTCAGGGGAGGCAGCTAGATGTTTAGTTCCTGAGGGTCAGGAGTTAGGGGAATATGAGCACCTGTCCCACTTTGTCTAGCCCTGTCATGGAAGGAGTGACTCAAGGACCCTGGGACCAAGCAAATGGGATCAGTGTCAGGAGACAGGCAGACATGGTGAAGAAGAGAAATTTAAAGAGACCAGAATTGGGTAGAATAGCTCAGCATATACCCAGCAATAAAAAAAGAAAAAAATGCAGCATTTAAAGGGTCCCAAATGAAGGTGGGGGAGCAAAGGGTACTGCAGGTGGCTAACTTCTCACTAACCTGGCAGTTTGTCACAAAGGGTGCCATCCAATTGCTGTTAAGTGCCTCAGGGACTCATGTAGGTACAGTGGCAGTGTTCAGCCATCCATGAGTTTGAAGGAAATGCTATCAAGATGTTTTGCAGGCATATCCTCCCAGGGGAGGCCACAGTAGGCTGCCTAGATGTGATGGAGTCAGCTTTTGCTGGGATGTCAGGTCATGGGAAAGATGGCAGGGTGATGAGCTGGGGGCTCATGAAATGCAGAAGGAGCCTAAGTGTCACAAGTGGAGCCCACGGATCACCTCAAAGCAGCAGCCACCCCCACCACAGCCGTGATGACACCCTAGTGACCACTGAGCAGGTGCTTTGAAGGCAGGTGCTGACATTCTCCATTCTAAGGGCGGAGACTAGGCAAGTCTCACAAGACTGCCCTGAATCTGCACCAAGATTCGAGCCAACTAGCTTGACTGTCTGGTTTTGGTTTTGACTTGGGTTTTTGGTTTGTTTGTTTGCTTGCTTACTTGTCTGCTTGTCTGCTGCTATTCCAGATATAAGAGATAGACGTGGCAGAGGAGACGGAGTTTCTAAGGAGAGAGGAGAGAAGATAAACGCGAACACAGAATGAAGTCAGAGAGACTGGGGCAATGGAGGAGGGTGATGTGTTCATGGTGCGGGAGAAAGTGGTACAGGGAGAAGTTGTATCCCTAGCATCCTCTCAGACCCGGGCAATATGGCAAAGGCCAGGGATTTGGAAAGGGAGAATTCTCCAGAAGAAAAGAGGAGGAAAGAGAAAGAAGATAATGGCAGATAATGATGGAGGAACTGAGGCTTTTTTGGTGTGTGTGTGTGTGTGTGTGTGTGTGTGTGTGTTCATGCATATGTGTGCATGTGTGTGTATGTGTATGTACATATGTGTTCGTGCATGTGCGAGTGTGTGCATGTGTGTGCATATGTGTGTGTGTGTACGTGTGCCTGCGCGCACGCATCTGCATGCATGAGTACATTTTTTTCTGTTTTCTTTTTCTCTAATAATTAAAACTACATAATTCTCAACATTGTCTCTGAATGACTTCTGCAGCTGTCATTGAATTTTAGTTGCAGCTTGTTTAGGAACCCAGGCAGGCATGGTGTGCAGAGGAGGCAGGTCTGGGGGACCTCAGCTGTGGGGTACCTAGGATCCCACTGGCTTAGATCCTCCACGACGGTTGTAGCCATGTGGTTTTGAGGACCTTGCTTCCTTGGTTACAAACTAAGTTGTACTTCGGAGTTTTCCACCTTTGATCCTAAGATGCTAGGGGGGACTTGGGAACCTGCCTGTGGTAAACTGGGACCTACAGTATTGAGAAGCCAAAAGGAAATGGCACCCTGGGAAATAAGGCAGGAGGGCTAGCCATGAAGGAGAGGGGTCCTCAGTTGGGCAATAGCATGTGGACAGCCAGCAGCCAACTCCCAAGACTGAAGATGGAAAGACACTGTCTTAGATGGTCTCCTGAGGCTAAGGGTGTTTCCGAACAACAGCATCCTCTGGGACTCTTGAGGATGTGTGTGCAGACATGGGTGTGACCAGCACCTGTGTGCAACAGCATCCCGACACTGGGGCAGAGTATTTTATTTTTCCACTCAGAAGTCCTGGGCTTACAAACTGTTTGCTTTCTGTTACTGTTTTTCTTTTTTTTATGGTTTGCATGTTTTATTTGACTGTCTTGTTTTTTTGTTTGGTTGGTTGATTGCTTGGGTTGTTGTTGTTTGACAGGAACTCACTATTCAGCTCAAGTTGGTCCCAAACTCTCCATGTAGCCCAGGCTGGCCTAGAACACACATTGCTCCTGTCTCTGCCTCGCCAGTGCATGGATTACATGTGTGCCACCATGCCTGGCTGTTGCAGTGCTGGCACAGAACCTGTGGCACTCTACCAGCTGAGCCCCAGCCCCAAGGATCTCAATTGCTTTTGCATCTAAGGCCCTGGCCTCACCCTTCACACACAATGTTCTGTGTGACTTGGAGTCACCTGGCTGCTTGGGCCTTGTCTTGCTCCCTGTGAAGGAAGACAGAGCTAAGTGCCACGAGGTTGTCATAAGGATGAAGTGTGACATGTTAAAGCATCTGGAGAGCTCCTACTGCCCCCATCCTGTCATCCTTGTCATTTGGCCCTGACTCACCTGGGAAACCCCAGCTGGGCACAGGCAACCTTGGCGTAGTGGCTTTTCCAGTCATCGGAGCACATGGTCCTCCAAGCAGCGGCCGTGAACACCTGGAGCGCTGCTCTTTGGCCACTCACTCGTACTGGCCAGGCACGGGGAGAAGGGCAGTGAGGACCAGTGCAGGCTGAGGCCAAGCAGAAGCTGACAACAGCCCCACTCATTGCACGCACCTCCTCTCCCAACCTGACCTGCCCCCTTGCTCAGCCCCTCCCCATAAGATTCTGCAGTTCCCATGGCCTAGACCATGAGACACCCCCCCCAGAACCTATCTAGTAACCCAAGTGAATGCAAACACACATAACAGTCATCCCAGAACCTAGCTAGACACATGGCAGCTGAGGACAGGTGGTTTCGATGGCTATGCCTTGGATCCATCTCACAGAAGGGAAGGGCAAGTCCTGGGTTGTGGTCACTCTCTATTACTTCCTCCAGTGAAAGGGTGCGACTCACCACATCGATACTCATCCTCCCCATCCTTGCAGTCAGAGACCCCATCGCATCGAGCTGTCAGTTCAATGCACTTGAAAGATGAATGGCACCTGTACTTCCCAGAGCAGTCGAAGTGGACTGGGAACAGGGAGGAAAGGGAGACCGCTAGCAAGCTGCCCCTTCAGTGTGCGGCACTCAGAGCTGCACACCTGCCATGTGGCCTTGAACTTGCCCATCAATAATGAAACCTGCAATGAAATTGCATCCCTGACAGCAGCCTGTTCCCTTCAGCCCCGTTTCTGGCCTGAACTCCAGGGGGCAGGACTGCTGCACCCACAGTATCACTACCTCCAGGAAGCACAGATCAAGGTGTATTCAGACTCTCAAGGTTCAAAGTCAAGAGCGAAACTGCATGGCTGTGACCAACACACCCACCTGGCCCAGCAAGAGCCTCAACTGAGACTTTTCAACCATCCTGCTTCCTTCAACTCTGGGCCTGAAGCCAATAAACGATAGAACACATGGCTGAGCAGGAGGCAGACTACACTGCCCTGTGCTCAGTTAGTTGGAGGAGAAAAAGAGAAACTATATACTCTAAGAGCGCCCCTTCCTCCCTATGACCCACTTTTTCAAAAGCCTCACATACCTCCCTATAAAAATAGCCAGGGTGCGTGGTATGGCTTGAATGGAAGTCTTTGTCTGTTCCACCCCAGACTCCCCCTTCCCATCCCAGAGTCCTGTTTCACCAGCTACCTTTGAGTAATTCTAACTGTGCAGGTATCCTAGTGGCAGAGCCCAGAGCACAGCCAGCAGCCCCTGCCTGTTCCCACACTGGCTTGATATTCACACAAGCAGATAAAACCCATCACCATCAAACCAAAAGGACACCAGCCACCAGTAATTAAGGCCAGGCAACAGCAAGTACAGACAGAGTGGGGGTGGGGTCACTCATGCAAGTTTAAATGCCAAAGCAGGTATTCGAGCGCCTACTAAATAATGGACGGTACTCACTGCCCAGGCCGATGGCCAGCGCCAGTATCAAGGCAATGATCCCAATGACGATGATCGGAAAAAACTTCAAGGGCAGCAGGGACAAGATCTGCGCAGCCACTGCGTCTGCATCTGAGAACCAAAGGAGTGGGGAGTGGCGGAGCCAGGGACCATTGACTTTGAGTGACATAAAACTTAAAGTTTAGCCATGTGTCCTCTGTCCTCTCTGTGCAGAGAAAGTACCAGCCCAAAGACAGCTGACTTCATTGAATGAATGGCCACGTTGTCTAGGTCAGTCTCACCCTCCCAGCTATGGCCCAGCTCTCATCCCAGCTTAGGAGACATTGTTGTGGGTTGAAAAGTATCCTCCAAAGGAGCCTTTGACACCCTGACTCCCAGCAGCCTAGCATGGGATCTTACTTGGAGATCACAGAGAGTGCCAGTTAAGATGAGGTCCTTAGAGAGTGCACTACTCTTGTATGACTGGGAAGGGGGGATTCCAACACAGACACAGACATGCATAGAAGAAAGACAACAAGAGACTAAGGGAACAGAAGATGAAGATGAAGGCCGGGGCAGGGTGACATGACAACTCAAGGAGTCCCAAAGGCTGTTGGTCAAAGGTCACTTTCTGCACAAGGCCTGGAGGGTCCTGTGTGCATCCATGGGAACAGAGCCTTACTGTCAACAGACTTTTAGGCTTCCAGCCCCCCCAAAAGGATACAAGGAGAGTCTGTTGACTGAGCCACCCAGCTGTGACATGTTGTCCCAGCCCTGGTAGAACAGTTGAAGGAAGTTCCAGGTCCCAAGGATATGTTCAGAGAGGGTAGTGTGACATGGAGATTTTATGCCATATGTTTGAAGCAAGGAGGGCGCTGGGCTCTCTCAAATTATCCCAAGCTGGCCTTTCCCCACAGAGTCACCCTCAGCCTTTGTTCCAGGCCATGCAACACATGTGAGCAGAGGCCACCACATAGGCAGCAGATCCCCAAGAGTGGGGCTGTCCAGTAGCTCACACACTGTCCAGTTTAGTACATTTCATGTCCTCTTCCAGGTCAGAGCTGCCACAACTCTGCTTGCTGCTCCTAAAGACTGGGGTTCCTAGGCTCTGGATTCTTCGGCTCTCATGGGAACCACCCACTTGTGCAATACCCACTGGGGAGAGGACTGGCAGTCACCAGGGTGATGAGGCCACCTGTTGTGCAGGGAGTGACAAATCCCTGTCCTTGACCCAGAAACTTCATGTCTTCTGGCTACATCGTCTATGAAATCTGGCAGGCTAACCGGTTAGCTTGCAAGTAAGGTGAACACTCACACTCTAGCTGCAGAGGTACAGCATCACCACCTCTCCTCTCTGGTATGGCTTGGACACACTTGGTTTGATGGTTAGTTTTCTATCGACTCAACACAAGCCAGGATCATCTGGGAAAGGGGAACTTCCGTTGGGAAAATGCCTTCATCAGATTGGCCTTTGAGCATATATAGTGAGTGTTGTCTTGACTAATGTTGGATGTGGAGAGCCTAGCTCATTGTGTGCGGTGTCACACTGGGGCAGTGTTGCTTCTGGATGACATATGAAAGTGGACTGAAAAAACCTGTAAGCAGCACCCTCCATAGCCTCTGCTTCAGTTCCTGCCTCCAGGTGCCTGCCCTGTGTGAGTTCCTGTCCTGGGCTTCCCATGAGCTGTGAAGCTGGTATAAACCTTCCCTCCCCAACTTGCTTTGGTCATGATGTTATCATAGCAATAGAGACTAGGACACTGGGGATGGTGAATAAAAGGCATCTCTCTGGAGCAGCCCCACAAAGGACAGACATGCAGGAAAACCTCCCAACCTCCCTGGAAATGAACAAACGAAAAATGGACCTAAATTCATCCTGACATCACAATGACTTTGCTGGTACCATACCCACTGGTGCTCACAGCGGAAGAGACCACAGGCTTCTCACACAGCACAGGAGCAGGATGCATTCGAGTCCCCTTTGTTAGTATTTAGGCATCTGTACTGGCCTACCCATGAGGTTCTGACAGGATATGTCCTCAGCTATAGCCATTAAGAGCACTACCTGTGCACATTCACTATGTTCCCTTTTAAAAGGGCTCTTTCTTTCTTCCTCTCTCCTTCTCTCTCTCCTTTTCTCTCTCCCTCTCTCCTCCTCCTCTCCCCTCACCCCTCCCTCCCTCTCTCTCCTTCTTTCTCTTCCTCTCTCTCTCCTTCTCTGCCTATCTTTCCCCCTACTGCCTCTCTTTTCTTTTCTGCTGCTCCTGTTCCCAGAGGCCATCCCCCCTCACCATTCCCTTTCCCCTAATAATAAAAAGAAAAAAAAAAAAAAAACCTCCAGGTGATCTCTGTCGCATGGCATTTTTCTGTCTCAAGCCACTTTTTACATTACAACACCCTTTGTGTGACATTGGAGATGGAGCTACATGGCTTAAGCAGATGGAGTTTTTGACCCAGTGATGTCACCTCTAGGAATGGATCCTAAATGTTGTCAAGGGTGTGTACACAGATGTCTGTCTCCACACACCCTGTTGAGGGTGCCATTCCTGAAACCAGCAAACAGGAAGCAGCCTAAACAGTCAGCAAAGGGGCAGCAGGAAACCCTCAACATCACTGTGGCGCACGTGGAATGGAATTCCTAAGGGGTCTTTTCTAATTTCATGAACCCATTCCTCCCACCCTGTCCTTCATACTCTGTCAGCAATCCAGAAGACTTAAAAAGAATCCCTGGGGCATCTGGGATGCAGGTTGGTCAGAGCTACAGCCTGAACTGTCCAAGTTCCCTCCCTCGCCCAGCCCGGGGGGTCATCATTCTCATTGCTCCCAAGTCGGACTTTCCAAACCAGCAAGCCACAGACAGCTCTCACCATAGGAACAGGCATCACAGGGAAAACAAATGCCTCACCTGGAAGACATGTGATTCAAGGAACCAGCTTTTCTTTTGGTGGCTACACCTATCATTTTAGCCAGGCACTTAACCTTTAGTGACATACAGCTTGCCTGAGTTTTCTAGAAGGGCTGTGGCCAGTGTTTCTAAGGACTCCCTGGAGGGCTCAGAGTTTTCCTAGGCAGTATTCAACCTCTTTCTGAGTGAACCTGAGCCAATGTGGATCTTGGGTCTCTGAAAACCGCCAAGAGAAGAAAACCAACCAACCAAACAAACACAAAACACTGCCTCCAGGAAGTTAGCAACTGCCCCTAACAAGGGGCTCCTCCTGAGCACCCTCCAACTGCAAGATTGGGGAAGGGAGGTGTCTGACTACTAATGTGAAAATACCCAGGGAAAGCGGGAGACATAGCAAAGTCAGAGTAACCTGTCTAGTTCAATCCCCGGTATAGGAGAGAAGGGAGGAGAAGGGAGGAGAGAAAGACAGAAGGAGGAAGGTGGGAGAGAGAAAGAGAGTGAGAGAATATACAAGGAGATTTCCCACACACACCCACACACAGAGACACACAGGCACACACACGTACACACACACACACACACACACACACACACACACACAGGGCACACGGGGCACACGGGGCACAGACAGACACTTGACCACATTCACCACTTCTGCAAAGAGCCCACATCACAAAATCCCACCTACCTGGTGCCACAGGACTTATTTTCAAATCATCCAAGCCAAAGAGTGATCGGAAGGAGAAGGGGGCTTCGGCTGCCGGAGGATCGTTTTCTCCCATGGTGACTATCTCAGCGCCTCTGATGTTGGCTTCCGGCTCCACCTCCACCTGCTTAGCCAGGGGTGAGCAGGATTGGTCCCTGTGGGAAGTATGGGCACCAGGGGTGCCTCTGTCCCACTTTAAATCCTTTCTGTCAGACTTGAAGACTTTGTGAGTTTGTCCCAAACACCCGTCTACTGAGAGCACAACTCTCCCTGGACTTCTAGAGTTGACAAATGAGCAGAATTTTAATTCCTCTCCAATAACAACGATGACGGTGTCCTCTGTGTAGCCAATCTTAAAACCAATCAAGTGACCCTTTTAAAGATAAGCCCCTTTGCCACACAGAAGGCACTGTGTCGTTCTTCTTTAGAAGACGGTAACTACCTGATTTCTGAGACTGTTCTCCCCTGTCCTTCAACATTTGATTTTTCTTTCTAGCCATAGGATTCACTTGTCATAGACATAAGATGTTCTGATACTCAATATTTGTGTCCCAAAATGTAGGTAGCACCAGAGAAAGGGCACTGTCCTGCCGTTAGTAGCATCAGTAGCTTTCCACAAACCCAGTCCTTTCCTGGCTCCTACAGGCATGACCTAATTAAAAATGAAAGTATCTGAGCCCTGGGGACCCAGGCCACCCAGCCAAGTGAGGAGTGGCTGGGAGCCTCAGACCAAACCCACACAGGGCTCTGTTTCCTACAGTAGAGACTTTCCAGAGAGGGTTGAACAAGCACAGCCATGTAGGGTGCTCCCCGGTGAGTCCCAGGTCAGTCCTCCCAACTATACAACCAGGGTTTTTAGAACTCTGCTTCCATCAACACTGAGGTCCACAGAGACCCCCTGAAGGCTGTAAGCAACAAACATGAATCTGTCTGCCTCCTTCCCGGCTTGCTACCTGTTGTGTTTGTCCACATTCCAAATGGAGCTACTCACCATTAACAACCAATCTTGTTTCTCACAATATTTGTAAACTCTAAGCTTTCTGGAAAAATCAGCCCTGGGAGAGTATCCCCTCCCAAGCAGGCCTAGGCTGGCAGGACCCACCTGGGGAAGCTGAGAAGTTACTTAGAGTGCACCCTCAAAGTGTCCCCCGACCCCGTGCCCCGCCCAGCCCTCTTACTATTTCTGGAGCCGCCATCATTTGGAGCAGTAATAATTTCCTTTTTCATTATAAAAATGAGCAGGAGGGGAAGCAGCTGGCAAAGGGGAGTCCAGTAGGGAAATATTTCCACCGAGTCACTCAGCCTTGTCGACTCTGTCACTGAAGCCAGCGGCATCACCGTGGCGCCTCTGTAACTCAATCTGGATGTGGTTATCAGGTGGCCCTAGTGGTATGGCCACGGAGATGGGGAGAACAGCTTGCAAATGAGCAGAGCCAGAATGGCAGCAGTGTCACAGAAGAATGTAGGGCCCAAGGACACTCCTTTTGGTAAGATGACCAAAGGGGCCACACCTAGTGCCAAGCAGACAGCCCCACAAAAGGGCAGATCAGCACTTTGCTGGGAGGTGCCATCCTACAGCTGTTCTGAAGGCAAAAGACAGAGACTAAACCATCTGCCTGCAAATTTCTTGTTGTCATTGTTTTTAATAGCTGAGTAGTACTCCATTGTGTAAACATACCACAATTTCTTCATCCATGTTTCAGTTGAGGGACATCTAGGTTTGTTTCTAGTTTCTGGCTACTACACATAAAGCTGCTATGAACATTCAACTTGATATGCCGCATTTGGTTGCTCTCCATAGGAGACCCACCCTCCTCTGAATAGAAACGGAGGAGGGATGGATGGGGGAGGAGGAGGAGAGTGAGAGGAGAGGAGGGAAATGAAAAAGTGGTCAAGCTGTTAAATAAATAAATAAATAAATAAATAAATAAATAAATAAATAAATACAGCCAGGCAGTGGTGGCACACACCTTTAGTGCCAGCACTTGGGAAGTAGAAGCAAGTGGATCTCTGTGAGTTCCAGGCCAGTCTATACTACAAAGTGAGGTCCAGGACAACCAGGGCTATTACACAGAAAATCTTTGTCTCGAAAAACCATTAAAAAAAAAAAAAAAAAAAAAAAGACAGACTAAAGTCCACCATGCTGTAGGTCCTTTCTTACCTCTGACTACTCTCCCGATCCCGGGATGAACACTTATTGAGATGGTGATAGCAGACATGGCTCTTAAAACTTTCTTTACTACCTCTTAATTGGAGCATGTTAGATTGTCATCTAGAATGTTCTGCCGTAACCCGCACAGTGACCAGGGCCATGAAGGGCTGATTGTGAACCTAAGTGTTTGGACAGTGCTGAATAAATACACAGATAACCAACAGGGGGCAAGTCTGAGGTCACCTGGGTCACCCTCAGCACCTCTTGCACACGAGCGAGTTCTCTTCAGCAAATGTTGGAAAAGAACTATGCACGAGGTTTCCTTCCTCTGTCTGACCTGAAAGACAACTTTTTAAGGTATGAGGAAAGGAGCAAGCCAGCTAGAGGATTTCCTGACTGACCATCTGAGCTTTCTCCTCCCTTTTCCCCCTCCCCTTCCTTCTTTCCTTCCTTCCTTCCTTCCTTCCTTCCTTCCTTCCATCTTTCCTTCCTTCCTTCCTTCCTTCCTTCCTTCTTTCCTTCCTTCCTTCCTTCCTTCCTTCCTTCCTTCACCTCTCCCTCTCTCCTTCATTTTGTTCTTGGTTGCTTGCCTCCTTTTGTTTTCCAAGTCAAGGTCTCATTGCATAGCCCAGGCTGGCCTCAAACTCGCCATTCTGCTGCCCCAGCCTCAAGTTCTAGGATTACAGAGAAATGAGTAGAAGAAACAGGTTGTGTTTTAATATATTATAGATATAAACATAATTGCTCAAAATTATTATTTGAATGAGAAAACATCATATTTGAAGTGAGCTATATTTCATGCCCCATATTCACTTTTTTCTCCTCTGAGTAATGCAGACTGAAGCCCCTGTGCACACACCACATGCTGTGTTGAAGATTTTATAGAACTTTATGAACTTTATGGTGTGTGTGTGTGTGTGTGTGTGTGTGTGTGTGTGTGTGTGTGTGTGTGGGTGTGTGTGGGGGTGTTGCAGGTCAAGAACCAAATTACCTTAGGCTGTCTTTAATCCCTTCATGGCCATTTATCACCCCCCCCCTTTGTCGGACCTAACATCCTTTCGACTGACAAGTAAAGCCCCTGGGATGTATTAATTTAGCAGACCATTGGCTTCTACCAATCCTAAAGCTAAGAATGCCCTCAGATAGCATCTGAGACTTATGGGAACGATGTCTCCGCTTTCCCACATCCCATCTATTTGATGTCCCTGGCAATGTGTTTGAAAATGCCTTCATTTAGACTGCCTTTTGTTGTCATTTGGGGCCACTCGAACCCATGTGACTCCCAGTCACAATGATCACAATGAACTATCTCTTAATTCCCTTTGGAGCAAGAGATAAGTTCTGCCTCGATGGTAGCAAGCTCTGTCTATTTCTAACACCCACATTCAAGATAAATAGATTGGAGAATCCCTCAGGGAGAACCAATGGAGGCCCAGAGGTCTCTATGGCAAAGGAAACCAGCCAGGCAGAGAAAGAGGCCGCAGCTGTGCCTCCGGTGTGGAAAATGTAAAAGAAAGAATGTAGCAGAGAGCAAAATGGTGGTTGTGGGGTCAGGGTGGAGTGAGAAGAAGGGGGAGATGTGAATCCAGGGGTGCAGATTTAGACATGTAGCATGAGCAAGCCCAGAGTCAGGTGTCACCTCACAGATACAGCTCTGCACTGAATGCTGGGAATTCTGGAAAGCCGACTTCAAAGCGCCCTTGTTGGCTCCTGCAGGATGGAGTTCGGTTCCCAGCACCCATGCTGGAAGGAACACTCACAACTGTCTGTAACTCCAGCTCCAGGGGGTCTCCAACACCTTCTTGCACCCCCACACATGTGTGCACATTCATACCAATAGATCTTTTTAATTTATTTATATTTTTATGTATGAGTGCTCTGCATGTAACCATACAGGCCAGAAGAGGGCACCAGGTCTTATTACAGATGGCTGTGAGCTACCATGTGGTTGCTGGGAATTGAACTCAGGACCTCTGGAAGAGCAGCCAGTGCTCTTAACCTCTGAGCCATCTCTCCAGGCCCCAAATAAAAATTTTTCATTAAAATTAAAGAATGTGAGTATTTGAGAAGTCACAGAGAGTGGGGAATTTCTGATTAAATTAAAGTTTAAAGATACAGAAGAAATAGAAAGAACTCACATTTTTAAATGAAACCCAGTGCAGTAGAGAGTGACATAGATATTTAGCATCTTATTTGGGGGTTAGCATTATATAATATTAAGTAGAGAGACAGAGAAAAGAAGAAGATTGGAAGGAAAGGGGGATAAACAAGATGAAAAAGAAGGATACATGGAACGTTGTAAGAACCAGTGAGCAATAAGGACGTGAAGCTGGGATGGTGGCCCACACCCTAAATCCCAGTGCTCAGAAGGCAGAGACAGGAGGAGCTCTGTGAGCTCACGGCCAGCCTGATCTACATAGGCTGGCCAGGGCTACCTGGTGAAACCATATCTCAAAATAAAAATAACATTTTAAAAACAATAAAATGTCATCATCACTCTCAGACAATATCTAGAATTCTAAAGATAAATTATTATAATCAATAAATAAACCCAGCAGGACTTTCAGATATAAAGCCAGTAGGAAACAGTACAAATGTGGTGGTAATTTACCAATAACAAAAAATAAAGCATGATCATGGATATCTCAAAAAGATGTAATTTATTGGGGCACCAAGGATTGCCCATTACCTAAGGATAGTGTAATACATACCGAATGACCTCTACCCAGAGACCCCTGCAGCAGAAGTGAAAAGAAATAAAGACTAGCAAGCCTATGCCGGCAAAATTAAAAAGGGTAAATTCCTTGAAAAGCATTTTAAAAAAAGAGATTATATAAATTAATTTCATACATTAAAACTTGCCAACAAAGAAACTTCTAGGTCCAGGATATTTCACTTACCATACAAATTTGGGAGATAGAGACAGAAGGATCAGGAGTTGAAGGTCATATTTAACTGCATAATGAAAGCCTGTATCAAATGTATATCTGTATAGATTATATAGATATATAATTTATAATAGCATCAAAAACACAAATGAAAGGGCTAGTGATGGCTCAGTGGGTAAAGTACTTGTCATACAACCCTGATAACCTGAGTTTGATCTCTAGAACATACACAAAGATGGAGGGGAAGAAGCAACTCTACCACGTTGTCCCCTGGCCTCCACACATAGCCACGGCATGCATGCACCCACAGGTAGACAAGAGACACACACAAAAAAAATCATAAATAAAATATTTTTAATTATGAAAAAACCTGAAAATTACAAAACATCCCTGGGAGAAATTAAGTGGAGAGATATACTATATTCGTGGAATGGAAGACATATTCAGTCTAACCACACAGATTGTTTCTGGCAAAAAAAAATAAATTAATTAATGTATTAGGTTTTGTTGTCTTTAGAATTCCTTTCATTTTTTTCTTAAAATCAGTTTTATTGAAATGTGCCCATTCTAAATACTCAGTTTGGTAGTCTTGAAAAAAGCATCACTTGTACAAACACCACTCAGTCTGGTCCCTCAGTCCCTAACTCACTCCCACCCTAACTCAGGCAACCACTGATGTTCTCTCTAAACTTAGCTCAATCTTATCTTGTCTAAAATGGCATCTAAATAAATCTGAAAAGCCAGTGTGATGGTACCTGGTGCCTGGCACTAGCTCGGTGAGCTCTTATGTTCATTGGTGATGCAGGAAGCATGGCTGCCCTGCTTCCTGTCAAAGAGCACCACTCCCTGAGCTCACAACCCGAGTCTGTTCACAGTCAGATCTCACTTGGACTATTTGGATGGTTTCCGGTTAGGGACTATGAGGAAGAAAGCCACCGTGGATGTTTAAAGATGGGTTTTTGTGGGGGCACGAGTTTTCATTTTTCCCCGGTGAACTCTAAGATCAGAACTAGTCACAGAGTCAATGTATGTTGGTTGACCTTTATGAGACACGTGTCAACTTGTTTTCCAAATCGGTTGGACAAATTACAATCACAAGTTCCCTTGCCTGGGTAAAGCTTGACCTTGTCGGTCCTTTGGACTCAGCTCCAAATCT